TTGGCCAGCCTCTTGCGCGACCTTGGCCACCTTCAAGTCGTCCTCGGCTTGTAAGGCTCGCTCGAAGATGAGAAATTGTTGCCGAGTTCGCTCCAGGAGATCGGTGAGGAAAGAGATACCCTCCGGGCTCAGGTGACCACCGCTGGCAAGGTCGTTGAGACACTCTCCAACAGAGTCAAGGCCCTTGCATCGGAGAGCTTGAGAGGCAGTAAAAGACAGGACTTCGCGCAGCTTCATGAAGACTTGGACCTCGGGCATGGCTCCCGCTGGTTCGGCAGGAGCAGCGGAGGAGCCGGCCTCACCGGTCGTGCTCTGGAGAAGAGCGTCAAGCTCCAATTCCCACAATGGCTGCACATAAGAGGAAAATTTTGTGAAAGACAGTAAGGACGTCGTGATATAGTGCATAAAAAGAAAAATGATTGTTTTAGACCTGCCGAGATGAGACTTTGGCCATGCCCTCTGGGTCATTGCTCGAACCCAGGGAACTTAATGGCCGAGCCCAATACCTTAGACCGCTTCTCAATTCACGCGGCCGATGGAGGTCATCTACATTTGATGCCATGACGGTGGCCAAGAAATATAGACAACGCCCGTCGGCGCATAGAATTGTCGGTGAAATGAACGTTCGGGCACCTGACATTTAATAGTCTTTTAAGAACATGTGTCATGAGAAAATTAACGCAAAAGAAAAAGACTTACAAAGGCCGAGGAGATCTTCATCCTGCGGGGGGATCGATGTCTCGACCGTGGCCTTAGGGTCGGTCATGGGTCTCTTGCCGCGATCCGCCGCAGGAGGAGTCGGTCGAGCGGTCGCTTCGACAATCGGAGGAAGATGGACGGGAGGAGAGTTGACTGGTCGGCGACGGCGTTCCAGGGGGACCTCTTCGCTTTCGCTCTCGACATCCTGAACAAAAAAGAAAAACCTTCTGCGTTACGACCAAAAACCTAAAGGAACAAGAGTAGAAGTAGAATTATACCTCCAGAATGACCGTTGGAGAAGAAGGTCCCTCGACAGGTGCAGCAGACTTCCCTGCGGCAGGCGCCACGACCGGCTCTGAAGCTGGAGCTGGTGCGCCGATGGGGTCGGCCGTGGCCTCAAGAGGAGAGACGGTTGGAGGAGTCGGGTTTGGAAAAGCCAAGGCAGCTGGCATAGGAGGAGAGCCGGCAGGAGCAGGCGTCCCTGTAGTATCACTAAGGACGACATGAATTTCCCAGTTGCCCTTCTTCGCCAATTTCTTGACGCATTTAGAAGAGCAAGGGGCATCAACCTCCGGCTCAGCCATCGGTGGGGGCGTTTGGCAAGGACCGTTCGCCCAGTAGCGATGGTCCTCTTCGTGGGCACCAGCTTCTTCGCCCTCGCCACCGCGGCGACCACTTCAACCTTCCTCGATACTCGACCTCCTGAAGAGCAAAGTAATTAGTAACAAGGATTAAGTGATATAAAGAGATTAAAAAAAAAGGGAAGAAAAGCGGAGAAACTACCTTGGGCCAACTCCTTAGGTTGAGTCGAGGACGTTGACCTGGGACGATCGCCAAAGATCTTCTTCACCAGATCTTCGGCCGGGGCGCCGAAGAATTCGCCGGTGTACTCCTCCCACCAGTCCCCGAAAGTGTCGGTTCCCAGAGATTCAGGAACCGTCGGCCGAATCCGGAATTTCCTGCACTTCTCTTGGAACTCCTGGTCTGACGTCTTGCATTCCCTTTCAGAGGAACCGGTAAGACGCCCCTGACTCAGGAGTGATTGAGAAGCGAGCAGGGGAACGGGGCAGCCTTGAAGATTGCCGAGCTGCTGGGCGACAAAATGGGGGTGGTAGACCTCCTAGCTGGCTCGGCGGGCATCGCAACCCAGAGGAAGGTCGCGAGCTAGAACAAACAAACCCCAGCACTAACGGATGTCCGCATCCTCGGACTCGGCCCATGCTGCCGTAGGAAGCCTGAGCGAGGAAGGGTACTCCTGGCGCCGGCATACTAGGAACTCGTCATCCGAGAGGACGTCGAGGCTGAGGAAGTGTTTGAATACCTCGTCGGCTCGGTGAGATGGCGCCGGTCGAGAGGCCAGTTGAAGGCCGAGGGCTTCCGTTCGTCGAAAGGCAGGAACCTCTGGTCGAAGGGTGGAGAAATAAACCTACAACCAGAGTTAGAACACCCAGAGGGGTCCATTCTGGTGCGGGTCAATTTTGCCAATGGTCGCCTCGGCCAGGCAACGGTAGAGGTTGGCGAGTATGGCTGGACTGAGCGCCAGCGAGCGACCATTAGCCAGTGTCTGGCCCACCGGCATGTTCTCGACCAGGCATTTGTTTGACCTGGTACAACAGATGAATTTGTTATACCAGTAGAAAAGGAAGGCCTCGTGCTCTCCCCTTCGAAGGCCTTCCTCGCCTCGGCCGGCGAAATGAAGGATGAGGGTGTTGTAGTTGAAGAAGTTCTTGTGAAGCTTCTGAACTTCTTCCTTTGAGGGCTTTCGATCACCCCGGCTTAGCGTTTCGACGGCCCTTTCGTCGAATAGTGCCTTCAGGTCGAGAGGAGAAGGGTATCCGGAAAGAGCGGCATCAATAGGAGGGCCGGTTGGCGAGGTCCCAAGAATGGCCGAGATGTTAAGGACTGTGGGGTCGAGAGGGCTAAAGGGCAGGACTATGGTGTTGGTGGCCGAACACCATAGACTCAGTGCCGCCATGAGCAGCTCTTTATCCATGGCAATCTCCATGGTCGACAAAATGATGGCGTCGTAGATACTGAGAGCTTTCCACTCCTTGCCAAAGAAGGTGCTCATTCGGTCAACCCAGGCAGCCCAGGCCGTGGTGGTCGAGGGCCAGGCTCCCTGAGGCCGTGCCAGAATCCACTTTGACCAATCAAACCCCTGCAGCAGGGGTGTTAAACACTGCTCCTTGAGCAGGTTAGTGACAGACGATGGCACTGCGTCTCTGAAGAGGGGACCCAGAATCTGGTGGGTGGTAGCCATGTCATTTTCGAATCGCAGCGTCTTGACGACGCTCCGATCGATGAAATCTTTACACTTGTTGACTTCCTCAGAGAGTTTCGAGATAAAGGAGGCCATTACTAGAAATGTTAGGAGATAATTTGGAAGGAGAGGATATTGCAGAAGGAAGAACTGGAGAAAATATTGCAAATGGAAGGACTAGAAGGTTTGGTTTGGACGAGCAAGGATGATAAATTTAAGATTTAGGGATTTCTGAAAGCGTAAGATGCGAATGACAGAAGTGTGGGTATTTATAGGCTTTTCAGAATGAAGATCAAACGTCTGGAATTCGAAAAGCACTGGAATTCAAAATGCAAGGGTTCAAATTGGGGGAAATTTAACCGGGAAAGATTCCAATCATTTCGGATATTTTGGGAACCTGCGAAGATGGGATCGAGGAGTCGAAAATCCAGGACGCACGATTGCGTGAGGCGTCGGTTTTAATGCGTTAATAAGGATAAGATGTTTCAATTAGTGCACGGTTTCGAGGCCCATGATTGAAGCTTTTAAGAACGGCGGAGAATCGACACGTGGCCAAGCTTTGGGGGCAACGAGGAAAGTGCAATCATGTCTCATAAATATGCAGGAATAATGGTCATTAAGGAAGTAAAGTCCAAAAAAGCAATAAACGTTTTCGCTTCTTCAAGGCCGAGGCCCGACCAAGAGTTAACAGTCGGCGACCTCAGAAGCGAGGGGGCAATGTTTGGGCCTAAAATAATATGGTTGGGCCGAGCAGCAAGATGTGATCGGCCCAAGGTAATGACAAATACTATGGGCCGAATAATGAAACACGGGCCAGCTGGCAGGGTCGGCCAAATCCTATCCTAAGTAGTCCAGATGAATAGAAAAGGTCGAGGAAGTCCTGGTGCGACCATGAGTCTCGACCGGCAAGGAATGGAGTCTCGAAAAGAAGGAAAATTCAGAACCCCAGTGGGAGTAGGTTTGTTCGAGTTAGAGTCGAAATGGGACAAGGACTCCCAATCCAAATCAGAATTGGTTTTAAGGAACGGGGTACTATAAATACAAGGAATCATGCAACAGAGAAGGACCTTCAGAATCAGCATACAATTGCCCTGCGCAAAACCTCTTAAACACCTTGAGATTTTTTCCTTTTCTTTTCATGCCGACACACCTTCAGTTTGGATAAACAGCACTGTGGAAGCACCCGACGAGCACCTTCAGTTTGGATAGACAGCACTGCTGCCGCAGAATCAGCCGACCGAGGAGCACCTTCAGTTTGGATAAACAGCACTGCGTCGAGGTCGACCGATTATCTATCTAAGTCTCGGCCGAGAAGGGTTTTCGAACCCTTGTTGGTAGAGGTCATCTTACTAGCCTTTTCGGCATAGTTGGGTGTTACGAATTGTATTGCTCGACGCCTTGGACACCAAGTGATTTTATGATTGGATACTCGCAAGTAAGTTTCAGGGTTCGGCATTCCAACGGCCGAACTACATTCGAGTACCTGTGCCCATATAGTTTGGTCTCGATTCGGCATGCTTATACTCTTACGAATATAATCACAGTGACCGAGTCAGGCTCCGACGACTTGTGAACTCTATCGAATTAGTAGCCTTTTCTTCAGGCTATAGAACCCAGAGACCGAGAGCGTTCCTTCCTCAGTCGCAATCGCAAGATACAGAAGTCAACAGCGCGCTCAACGCGACATCATCAAATTTTCCTCCTCGGCCGAGCTCGGCCGACTAGTTGGCACGCCCCGCATTCAACCGAAGGACATAGTTAGCTTATTAGTTACTCGGCCTGCGCGCCACGTAGGTTTTGTAATTTTTAAACTCAATATACTCATGTATGCACTAACTGATCCATTAAAGGGCAAGGGGGGTCAGTTGGACTTTCAAACTCTGGTGAATCTCTATATATGACTTCAGTGTTGCCCATTTGAAGGTTTAAGTTGTCCTTTATACATGTCCTCCAATGACTTGATAAAATTCCTCAAGAAGCCTCAAAGAGGAGTTGCCATTCTTATTATTAAATTTTTTTAAATATCAACTTGAGCATTATATTCTTGATAAATTTTCATAAGTGTATAAATGTAATTTTATTTCAAATTAAAACAAAATTAAAATGGGTATAAATAGAATCTCCCTAATCATGTCTCAGAAAACCAAACACAAACAAAAGCTTTTGAGCCACATCGGCCCAAAACAACTGTATCATTAATCGACTTTAGAATTATTTACTAGAGGAATACGTTTTTGGACGTGAGCAAGGGAAGGAAGGGATCCCAATCGAGTAATGTTGACATAATCTTGAGGAGCATGAGCTGCCAATCCAGGAATTACTAAACCAACTACCCTAAGCATCCTCATAAACCAGCTTTCCTTGTATTCCGCACCCCTTATTAACGGCAGTATGAAGCTCCTAATCAGCTCCCACAATGCATTTAGGCACTTTGGTATGAACCAGAACACATTGAAGTAGTTCTTGTTGGGTTCCTCCTCCAAAACCTGGTTCCCAATCAAACAATGTTAGTCATATTACGAAAGAAATTCTTCTATACTGCATTTATGCATAAATGTAGACAAGGTTCCTCTCACAAAAACTCTTGCACACAAATATGTATATAACTTTGATCGTCTCACAACAAACCCTAATCAATCATATTATGTTCATGTAACCACTTATTGCGATAAGAGAACCTGTAGTTTGTTGATTATGTGACTGGTTATTGTAAGAGAAACGTTCAATCAAGATAGAGAGACACTAACCTTCCCCTTATAGCAGCTGCTGAAATATAGGCTTGGACCAAAGTGCTTAAACAAGAGAGTTTTATCGTCATAAGGTATCCTAGGAACCATATCATTGGAATAAACATACCTCATATACTTCACACCATAATTTTTCAGCTTCTCCCTCATAAACACCCCAAAGTTCTCATCCCCCACCCTTGGCTGTCCAAAAGTGTACACCCCTTCCAACCTCCCCATCAACCATGCATATTTCTCCTCGTAGTCGTGCATTGCAAGCACCGCGGCAAACAGCACAGCCAATGCCCCGCCCAAGCTGTGGCCTGTCAGTATGAACTTGGCATTCTTGTTTTCTTGCATTAAATCCGTCAGAATTTGTCTGATTTTGTAGTAAGCAAACTGATGAGGAAGTTGTTCAGCGGCGTTGACTTCTTGTGTTTCTTGTTCAAGGGGCCAGCTTCTGTTTGGTTGCATGCCAAGAGCTTTCATGAAGCCGCTGTGGGTCTTGCCGAGTCCTGCAAACTCGCACCATGAGATGTCGAAATCCGTCCTCCATGCGTCTGCATCAAAGGGGTTGGTGCCTCTAAATGCAACCACAATCAAATTGGGGTCAGATGTTGTGTCTTGGAACAGGAAGGCTTGCGTTGAATCTCGTCTCTGATAACCTGAAAATTATTTGATATTCATTAAGAATCCAAGATTTAAAAATTAAAAAAAATAAATAAATAAAAAAAGGCTTCATTTCTGCAGTTTGACCGAAGTTCAACTCTAATCCCTATAGTTTTATTTTCTTGTAGTTTAGCCTTGTGTAACACTAGTTGTCGCAAATTACACACAGTTGCTTAATTTTGTCAGTGTTATTAACAGATGGGGATGAGTGACAAAAGTGTGAACTACATCTAAAACTGCAAAAATTAAACCATGGTCTAAATTAGAAAGACCAAAATCATACTTTTGTTACTACTTTATTTTTTATGCGAACTGATTTTCTTTGGTTTATCCAATTCAAATGTCGCTAATAACATTAGGTGTGCAGGGGAAGAAAAAAAGTATACGGAAGTCATTTCAAAAACAACATTTCGATGTGTACCCTACCATTCCAAAAGTTGTAAAACTCCACAAATTTCATCTGCACATTCAAAAAAAAAATTAAAAGATAAAGAAGTCAGTTAATTCATGATCATCATAATCACTACTACAATTTAAAACATTGGTGCTTAAGTTAATTAAATTTGCTTACCTTCCAGTGATCCGTGACGATTGTTTTAATGAGGACTTGGTTTTCGTATGACATTTTAGCCGCCATCATGGACAGTGCTCCTTTGTATCTTGTATTGCCTGGTTTGATGTTGTCGTCCAATTCCACTCGCCTATCAAGATTTCCCAGCACTGATCTGGTTGATAACGAATCTGCCTTTGCCACCTTTCCTGCCCACCGGCCCTTTTACTCATTCAATTACTTAAGCAGAAAATATGACCAAAGTATCAACATAATTATGTTCCTATAATTCGTTGCCACTATTTAAAGTTAGTTTTTCTGTTAAAAAAAAGTGCATGAATTCAAGAGAATGATGAATTATTTTGTGTAATAATATGAAAAACCTCTCTTTTATGTCTTTTTATTTCTTTTTACCAAACACATAATTTTTTTTATATATATATATTTTCCTCTTCGTTTTAATATCAAAATTTGTTCAGGTCAAAGTTTTTGAGGTTTGTCTAAGCCGTGAAGGATGATGTATATACTAATGAGTTAGATATAGATTATATCAATAATTTGATCTAATTCCCACCAAAGTAAGAATAGAAACTTTTGAGTCAATCAAGTGAAATTTTAGTTCGATAATCAAATCCACACCAAGACAAACAAAAAAATAATTTCAGTTTCACTATCAAAACCCTTGGAGAAAATGAAAAGGGTTTTGATGATTTCTGTTTCTTTTTCTGTAATTAAAGTAATTAATCACGGATGCATACACGCTTGAACTAAATGAATCAGTCACGAATTTTCAAAATTTTAAATAGTTGAATCAAAGAGAACAAAAGAATATGTGTTCTTATACTATTACAAGAAATTATATCAGACCAAACCTTTAAGCCACATTTTGAAGAGCGCGAACAATCCGCCATTGGATGCTACAAGATTTAGAAACTTGTTGACGGTACCCCCAGTTCGAGCCATGGGCGTTCTGAAGAAAAGGAACATCCATTGCACCACAATAGAGACGAAGATTAGCCATCGGCGTTCAAGTTTTCGTCGTTTACATCCTTCCTCTTCCGAGCAGTTGATGAAGCTTCTCTTTTCTACGTCGGAGGAAAACAGGAGGCGAATGAGCTCGATGAAGCTTGCTTCTTCTGGCTTGAGGAAAACATAATTGTGACAGACATGTTCCTTAGAAGCCATGACAGTAATTAGCTTCGAAGCGAGGAAATGAGCCGCATTGTGTCGATGTCTCAATTCAAACTATATATACAAATGCAGGAAAGAGTTTATATATTTATACATGTAACGTTTGTATACAGTAATGCGTATATACTACATATACAACAATGTGTCGGTGCCCTCTATAGAAAATTACGAATATTTAAGATGCTAGCTAGTTGTTTTTTTCATAACCAGTTTGGTTTTGTTAAATTTGATATATAATTAATGTTTTATATTGGAAAGAAGTATTAAAAAAAACAGCTTAGCTGGGCTGATTTGGCAACTAGGATAGTTCATAGATGTGTGTGTGCGCGCGCGCGTGTGTGTGTACGGAATTTTAACGAAAAATCTTCGGTACTGTTTATCTTAACGAAAAACTATATTTTTATATTAAAAAGCCAATCCTGGTACTATTTACTTTACCCTTTATTTTATTCTTATCATTAAAACTCAAAGTTTTCAAGTCATTTTCATTAGTTTTTCTATATATATATGTAGTGTGTTATTGAGAGAAAAAGAATTCTCATCTAGCTTGATCATCGTCATGCACGGGATTACTAATGTGGTCAAAGGACATTTTTGCAATGGCATAAGTTTTTTCAATTCTGGTTAGTTATCATACATTTGCAAGGTGTATATCATGTTTCATGGGTATTTTAGTCTTAACCTTCTGATGTTATGAACCAATTTGAAAACAACTAGCTCTTAATTAGTTTGGTAACACTTCTCCTTCCAATGTCTGAAAAATGTTCAAAGCTTGAATCCTCCCTTGTCCAATAACAAGTAACAACAACAAAAAAACGAACACATGAGACGCACACATGTGCCCTAAACTTGAAGTAAAATCTATAGATTTTGAATGCATTACATAATTAATAAAGTTATTAGCTGACCAATGACTAAGAACTACAGGACATGGATTTCAAAATTTTTTGGTGACTAATATTTAAATAAGTTATCATGGTAGAACGATCAAGGGCAAGTCAATAGATGAAATTGGTTTAACTAGTGAAGCATGAATATTCTTTGCTGATTAAGTCGTACCCCTCCTACTTCATTTTTAATTCCAACGTAGTTGCACAACTATTAAGAGTGGTTATCCCATATCAAAAACATAAGAGACATTATATGTGCTTATTAGTAATTGGACTACTCCATGTATTGCCACTTGCTTTTATAGTGGAATCTTAACTTTTTTCATAGTATCAGAGCAAGTGTCCCACTACATGCATATGAAGTCCAACGGTCACACGTGTTTCAAATCACCCAATTTATATAGTTCATGTGCTAGGTTTGAAAATTTCTCATATGTGAAAGGGCATGATAAGAGTGTTAATCCCACATCAGGAAAAAAAAGGATCTTACATATGTTTATAAGTAATGGTCATATTACCAATTGGTTTATGGGTGAAATTTCAAACTTTAAACACTGACGTGTTTATCAATATATCTTACTTAATGCACTTAACCATTGACGCCGTGTAAAATAAAAATCAAAAGAATCATATAGTCACGAAGACAAACGTGGGCATTCTAAGCAACCTGTATTAGACGTTTTAATCTTCCAATTTCGTGCAAGATTCGCGAAGACACAAACAGTGGGCATTCTAAGCACACTACATAAGGCGTTTTAATCTTCCAATTTCGTGCATATATCTTACTTAATGCACTTAACCATTGACCCTCATTTATAAAAAAAAAAAAAAAAAAAACTAAACCATTGACCCTGTGTATAATAAAAATCAAAAGAATCATATAGTCACGAAGACAAACAGCGGGCATTCTAAGCAACCTGTATAAAAGACGTTTTAATCTTCCAATTTCGTGCAAGATGCAACAATGTTAAGTTAAATATATCAATCAGGATATATAGGTAATTCTTAGTTGTTCTTAAATCCTTTTTTCTTTTTTTTTTCCTGGTCCAATATCATTTCTTTGACAATGTCATATGACTCTTACAAGCTATGAGTTATATAGGCTCCGATAGATAATCCACAGTATATGCTGGTAACATCTTAGCTTCGTCGTATACCAACTACTTTGTTCCTTAGGTTTTTGTCAATGAATTGGTCATCATAATTATTTTTATGCGGAGTTATTAACAATTATAATTACTAATTAGTGTCTCATTTGCTTATGTATGGGATTGGCACACGCTTTGGTTTAAAAGTGATTATTCTAATTCTAGTGTTCTTACTTGTTTCCGTTTGGATGATTATCTTCCTCCTTGGCCTCTTCATACACAATAGTTCACTTGTTTGGCTCGAATATGAGAGATGACTTTTTGTTACTCTCACATGTATCGGGAAGGTTATGTGATAGTTTTGCTAACATGAGTTTATCTTCCTCAAATTTGCTCTGGCATGACCCCCTCCAGTCCACTAGCAGTACTTACTTCTTTAGATTTGGATTTCGTTGGCAATTGCATGGTTTCTGTTTTTCAGATAAGCATGTTTCATGGTTTTTCAGCATTTCGCTTGGCTCGAATTGAGACCTTAGTTTGAGGAATGTAGTAGCTTATTTTGAAGTTGATGGGCAGTTCTCGGGATCTTTGTTGTTTCTGATCGTGATAGTAAGGCTACTTTGGTAGATCGATGGTTGAGTCTTATGTGTAACTCAACTCGCCTAATTCATTATCACCCTTTATTAAAAAAAAAAAAAAAAAAAAGTAGGACATAATTATATTTTGAGCTTGTTTGAGATTTGAAGCTAGAATGAAAAAGTGCTAAAGGATACTCAAAAGCGACTATACTTAGCATAAAATTTCTATAAAAGCATTTATGAATCGTAAAAATACTTTATGTGAGCATTGAAAACACTAGGATTTTTGTGATAATATTTTTTGACAAATCAATCCTCGCAAAATTAGGAATAAATAAAGAAGAACATTGATGAATCAAGAGCAAAAGGTTTAGAGAGAGAAAGATGAGTTCACGCAAGTCTTACTAAAATTGATTCGATACATTCATTATAGATAATAATTCACACTGTCACATTTGGAACTAATGTATAACTTCATAATTCTTAACTTTTGATTGATAAGTTGGAGATAGCCTAAGGAAAACCAACCTTTGGGAGTGAGCATATATAAAGTGGATAAATAGTACGTAGAGGTTAGAAAAGAAATATAAGTGTCAAATGAATGTATGTTTACAATTAAGTACTAAACCAAAAAACTAATTAAGAACTGTTAAATCTCAATTCCTGTCTAAGCGTAAATTGAATTAAACACATCTAGCTAACTGGACAGTTGGGCTAATTAGATGGTACCCGGATAAGTTTAGGGTTTATATGTAGGTAAAGTAGAAGAGAATTTATTTAGACGGTTAAAATAATTGAGTTTTAAAAAGCCTATCTGAAAACTCTTTCTATTAGTTTTTTATTTTTATTTTCTAATGGTAATTATTTGTTCGAAGTCACAAAATATTTTTAAGGATAGAATTAAGTCAATTAATCTTTTAAGTTTAAGAAACTGTCTGTTTACCACTCAGTACTACGATCTAGTGATATTCCCCTTCATTAAGAAATAAGAGATTTTAGGTTCAAATCTCGTGCATGATAAATTTGATACCAAATTAGATTGCCTATTGTGTGGCTTAACCAAATTCTCTCTCCCTTAGTGTAAAAATATATCGATGTACTCAAAAAAAAAAAAATGGTTTCGTTGAACAGTGCTAAAAGTTGAAATGAAGTTAATGAACGTTAATTTATAAGGCTATGCCAAACAGCTTGTATGAATATATTTTGACGTCTGCAGAAATAATCATCTTTCAGTAACGATGACATAATAACAACAGATCATTTGCGCAATGGAATGTCGAAATATGCTTATTGTAGCAGATTGGTTGTTATTTCCCTCTCAATGTTGCTGAAATTAACGGGTAGTCCTATGACCACAGGTACACATTGGGCCTTCACGGGGTCTGCAATCCCTGACCAGGCCGCACTCGAAGGCAGCAGAAGATGGCAGCTTCTAAATACACCCAAACATTGAATTGGCAACACCCAAAAGACTTGGAAAATTATAATTTGAAAAAAAGAAACATTTCAAAGTAGTTGAGCATGACATTTATTTTTATAGCAATTTAGTTACATGTCTACCTCAACAATTTACATTGTGAACCATTCACCTCCTTTTCGGCGTTTCTATTAATTTTGGTTTAGTCCACGGTCCACGACAATAATTAATACACTTGCTAACAAAACTGGACATGACCACTTTAGATGAAATATACGTGTATGTTAGAGAGAGTTACAATAATGCATGTAATTAGTTTCGTGTGTCTAAATAGTATTTACTCGTGCAGACATTGAGACTTAATTCATAGGTGTAACCTTTGGCTTAATTCTCTAGAATCGACCACTGAATCGTCTTACATTTCAATACTTCAAAATCAACAATTAAAATGCCGAACGATTCAATGCTCTATAATTGACAATTAAATCACTTAAGGTTGTGTTAATCGAAGATACATGACATAGCCATGTTGGCTAAAACTAAAATACGCATTCTATGCATCTAAGTTTGTATTCCACTCCGAAGATTTTGTATTATTGCAAAGTAGAAAATGAGAGGTGGGTCTGTCCATGCTTCTACAAGTAGAATTTGGACAAAATTATAGAAAAGTTGCTTAAACTCGATGTGGAGTTTTTCGTTGAAATACATCCCACCTATGAGAAAGGACAGACGGAGGAGGAATATTGGGCCAAGAGATTAAGATTGTGTCACCCTCCGTCGCTCTCCCAGTGGACCCCTACCAAATCAAATCCGACCAACCAACATGTCTTAGTCTCATTTTTTGGACTCTAGCCATTATTCATTTGGTTTGCTCTTATCTTGCATATCCTACCGTCTTTGACTCCATAACAAATTATCTAACCACGGCCCAAATAATTTAACAACAGAATTCAATCTAGCACTCAAAATATTACAAGTATTTGGTTTGAATCTACTTGTATATTGTTCTATTAATACATAATATCGTATTATAAATCTGAATAGTAGGAAAAATTGCAATAAATGTTGTTTTCAGTTTTTTTGATAAT